AGGACATGACCCAGGGACAGAGGCCTGGATCCCAGGATGTGGCCCAGGGACAGAGGACATGACCCAGGGACAGAGGCCTGGATCCCAGCACCCACCTGCCCACTGGAAAACACAAAGACCAGTGCAGAGCCAGCTGCTGTCAGCCCCCAGGTGAGCAGCGTTCCCAGCCCCGCCTGCAGCACCGGCCCCTGCCCGGGGATCATGCTGACCTAGGAGAGACCAGGTGTGTCAGGAGAAGGGCTTAAACACAAAGAACATCCCTCCCCCCCAATTCCTCCCTGCCCACCAGGGAACTGCTCCAGGGCCCTCCCCACCGGAGGGCACAGAGGGAGTTTAACCCCCCTCCCTGCAGCACCCGCTGGAGTTCCCCTCTGAATCCCAGTTTTGCAGCTCAATCCGCAGGCCCCAAAGGGCCAGGACACAGCCCAGCCCATCAGCTCCATTCTGCCTCAGCCCCCCTCCCCTCCAGGGCAGCACCAGGGCAGAGCAGCTGTGGAGAAGCCCAGAGAAGGGGGCTCAAACCTCAGGTGCTTTGTCCCACACCCCCGGGGGGTCCCCAGGGATGTGCCCGATGCCCCACTCGCGGGTGACACTTTCCTGTGCCCAAAAACCCCCCCGTTTCACCGGCGTGGAAGGCAAAAGCCCGCACAGCATCAAGCGGAAAGGGGAACCAGGGTCGGGATGGGGCAGCAGAGCCCCAGGAGCAGGGCAGGGGGCCCAGCCCGGGGAGCAGCGCTGCTGAGGCAACACCCCCATGTGCACAGACACGGGCAGGTCGGTGTGGAAAAGCACACGCGTGATTAGACACGCGTGTGCCAACATTTAAGACGCGCACGTAATTACACACCTGCAAAGACACACACACCCCTGCACACAATAAGAGATACACACGCTATTGGCTTCCTCCCCCTCGCAGGGCTCCCCGAACCCCCCGCCAAGCCCCGCAGAGGGGGTGCCCGGGTCAGACCCCTGCCCAGGGAGGGAGACCCTCCCCCTCCTAC